GTTACTGGGGTGGTCCAGTCCAGTTACTGGGGTGGTCCAGTTACTGGGGTGGTCCAGTCCAGTTACTGGGTGGTCCAGTCCAGTTACTGGGGTGGCCCAGTTACGGGGTGGTCCAGTCCTTACTGGGGTGGTCCAGTTAGTGGGTGGTCCAGTCCGGTTACTGGGGTGGTCCAGTTGCTGGGTGGTCCAGTAAATGGATGGGCAAGTAAGTTAACTGGATGGTCCAGTAACTGGCGCCTCGTCATCGAGGCCATATTGAAAGGGTAACATGGTAACCGAGCATGCATGCGGTCTTGATTTGTATTTTTGGAACCGGTGCAGTGTGCGCACAAGCGGATGGGGGAAACAAATGGGCACTAGTCTCTCGGAGACTATATGCCGAGAACTCAGGGAAAGTTCGTTCCCGAAGTAGACCTGATTGCCTTATCCTCGTCAAACAGATGCTTCAGAGGTAACTTGGAAAGCTGAGAGAGAGTTCGTTGCTAGTGGAGGTAATGTGGAAAGCTAGGGAGCAATCTTGATTGATGATTCATGTGAAGTTGTGAACGCAACTGGGCACATAACATGCTCAAGAAGAACAAAAAAAGATTGTGCGTTAATCTCTCCGAGATTAAAACGCATCCTCCTCAATGGAGACCTGAGCGCCGCATCGTCATAACGTAACATGGAGTGCTTCAATGGCACCATGGAGAGTACCAAGGAACCTTCGTTCCAATAAGAATGAACCTTCATGCCAGTGTCACCGAGCGCCGACTTCCTCTACGCTTCTGGAGACCTGTGAGGCAGGACGGTGAGATGTTCTCGGGACACGGGATGGGTTTTCTCCTCCAGAGCTTGACGTCCTCACCGACTCCGTGGACAGTTTGCCTTATCAACGAAAGCCATTTGTCCCTAATTTATTTAATAGCTCATGGTCTGCCGGCCTTACTCTGTTCCTGATTTATCCCGGCTTGACCCTGATCAATCCCCTTGACTCTCGAGTGCATTCGGTTCTTGTCTCCCGTGTGCTATGATCAGGCTCAGTTCTCTCACCTGTGGCTGCGTCGCATCTGGCATGTGTGCTATGTACATGCTTTATTTAATTCTCTGTACACTCTACTTCCTTCCATGTTAGCTCTCAGGACTTCTGAAACGATCCGTCTCTGTGCCACCACCCTGCGTATGTTACCCCGTGGAGTGTGTGGCATCAGTAGAGACTCTAGAGAGCGTACAGCGTGGTCGCGATTTGCACCTCCTCTCCTCCGTTTATTTATAGAACAATAAAGTTTGGGTTTCCTGCTGTTTAACAGAGCCCAAAGCAGTAGGACTATATGCCCCCAGTTGTCACAGCCTCACAGGAGTGACGGGGTTTGTTAATGTCACAGGATTGGGGTTTATTTATGCAGTTTGGGGGAAAGGTGGAAGGGGAGGGGAGGGAGGATGGTGGTTAGTTAGTTACCTACCCCACAGCTATACGCTGAAAATGCTGTCTTTCAAATTTTAGCTATTGACCGAGTGATAGTGAGGGAGGATGGTGTTTAGTCACCCCTGATTAGTGAGGAGGAGGTGCTATTTGTTTGCTATACACACAGTGTCGTAACTTTTCACAGTGTTATGTTGAAGATTTTGCTGCTAATTACTTTTGGCTAGGGATTTTTGGCTAACGATTTTTAGCGATTCTGTCGAGATTTTGCTAAAGATTTTTGGCGAACGATTTGCCACCGATAGCTTGCTTTCATGTGTTATGCTGAAGAAGAGCCACTTTTTCCTAGATAGGCAAACCCATCCGACAGGAATAGATAACGGGGGGTTGGTTGCAATCGTCGTTTGATGATAGTCTTTTAGGTACTTTTTTTGTTCGTTCGGGATTACTTGCATCTGTTCATAGCTTTGCCACGGATTGAGTGAATAACGATACAAGGCAGCCCGTTGTAGTGGTGGTGGTCCATGGCTGCAACACACCTTTCCTGGATGCCTCACCGTGCTCGTGCTCTTCTCTTGGATGCTGACGGAGGACGATGTGTGTGCTGTTTCATAAGAGTGGAATGCAGCTGAGGGTGGAGGATCCACACCGTTCAAATGACTGGAACAAAGGTCGGCTCCAGAGGCCAAGGTCGCCGGTTCGAATCCGTGCTCTCACAGAGGACGACTTTGACTCGGATGTACGGATCGATGAACCACTTTGGGGAAGAAGATCTGCACCGTTCAGAAGAAGAGTGGACCAAAGGTTGGCTCCTGAGGGCCAAGGTCGCCGGATCCAATCTGCGTTCGCACGGAGGACGACTTTGGCGCGTATGTACGGACGGATCTATGAACGACATTGGGGAAGAGGATCTGAACCATTCAGAAGAGTAGAAGACCGCTGGGGGAAGAGGACCGGCACCGTTCAGGAGAGTAGAAGGATCCGCCGCGTTGAAAAGAGTGGAACACAGGTTAGCGAAGATTGGATCGCAGCTGGGGGAAGAGGATCTGCGTCATTGAAAAGAGGGGAATGCAGGTGAGGGAGGAGAGTCTGGACCATGCAAAAGACGGGAAGAACTCAGGTTAGCGAAGAGGAAGAGGATGTGCACTGTTCAGAAGAGTAGAACGTACGAGGGGGAAGAGGATCTGTGCTGTAAACAAGAGTACAAGGCAGCAGCTCCGAGACGTGGTGGTGCAGGGCACCGCAGGCACCATTCTCTCTCCCCTAGTAAATCACAGCAATGGTAGGAAATGGGTATTATAGTATATATACTGTGTATAGATATATACATATGGCAGCTGTACTGGCTCGCCCAAAATAGCCATGTACCTTTTCCTGGATATTGGGAAGGGGAGATGGGAGATGCATTGTCTGAGTACAGATTGCAGTGGCCTCTCGACTTGATGTGAGGCTCCTTTAAAGCCCAGAGGAGGAGGGATGGTGATAGGTGGGTGGAGGTAGGCAGCAGCGGTATCGACTGACTTCAGTGGCGAAGCATCTTCTTCTTTACTGAATAAGGGAAGAGGTTGCATCGGTAGAAGAATCGGTGAAAGAATCGGTAGAACAATCGGTAGAACAATCGGCAGAACAATCGGTAGAGCAATCGGTAGCACAATCGGTAGAACAATCGGTCGAAGAAGAGGACAGAGCAACCTTGCATCGGTAGAAGAATCGGTGAAAGAGTCGGTAGAACAATCGGTAGAACAATCGGTAGAACAATCAGTAGAACAGTCGGTAGAAGAAGAGGACAGAGCAACCTTGAAACTCACCATTGCGGCCTCTCTTGCCAAATGAAGCCTGGTGTCTGTAGGGTAGGCCCGTCTGCCCAGACGTACTGTCCGCACATATAGACATTGCTAGTGCTGAATGTTGCCCCTTTTGAAGTCGGATACATCTAGGAAAGCGCGAGGGTGAGTCCGCTTAGTGTCGGAGGGAGGACTGCGGAGAATGAGGTAAGTCAGGCAAGCAAGATCTCTAATCTGTCTCGCAGTAATATGTCGTGGATTCGAAAATTCAAAATTGTGGTTTTTAACTTTTTAGGAGTTGGAAGTGAAGGAGTCAATCCACGTACTGTCGGACGGAGGACTGCGGGGAATGAGGGGGGGAGTTGTCAGAAGAGTGTTTCGTGAATCCTCTTGAAAATAGGAGGGGTCTTCGCCCGCCTTTAACCAAGGAAAATTTTGAGGATCTGTGCTGGCGGATAATTTTTGAGCGACTCTCCGTTGTCTGTGCTTTCAGGAGTGGGGTGGACTGAAGGCCTACAGGAAAATTCTTCTTGTGAAAGCATCCGATCAAGAGTGAAGACCGAGTTGAGTTGTGATTACCACTTGCATGTAATTAATACCTGAAGCAACGCAACTTGTCGAGACGGAACACATAGGTCTGGTCAGTCGTGGAGCTGATCCTGATCGGGGTCATGTGTGATAACTTGTAAGGTTGGTGACAGCACCAGAAGAAGCGTCGACGATTTGTCGATCTTTCAGGCGGGCAAGCAGGTATCGTCAACTACTGTCTATACCCAAGTAGAACTCACGGAGAATACGTACGTCTCCTGTGTGACGTGAAAGTTCCCATAATATACAGCTAGGAAGATAAATGTGTCGTATTTGGGGCAAGATGGTTGTGACGGTAAATGTGGCTCCAGGTTTTGGGGTAGAGAGTTACCTCGCCCGGGAGCCTAGCACTTTTGAAACAGAGCAAGGTGCAATGTGCAAGGTGCGCTGTGTTTGACTCACTGGCAGCTGCAAGTACCCGCCGCCGTGAATATGTGGGAGCTGACGAGATGGATGGCATTCAATATGTGGCATTCAATTGCTGAGGGTGATTCACAGCCCATTCTCGTATGTATCCCAGGTAAGGAAACGTAATGAAGGTGGTGGCCTTGCTGTCCCCAATGTTGCTTTTGTAGACTTGTATAAATCCGCACATAATCTCTCTCTCTCTCTCTCTCTCTCTCTCTCTCTCTCTCTCTCTCTCTCTCTCTCTCTCTCTCTCTCTCTCTCTCTCTCTCT